AATACTAGTTTTTATTAAATGCAAAAATAAAGTTAGAAATTATTTTTTAAAAAATTATATTTTTTTTTTTGAAAATAAAAGGCTAATTCATTAATCATAAACAGAAATGTTTACAATACAGATCGTTAGAATGACAGTGCATTCTTTACAATCAAACATAGAAACAAATTTTCTAGCAATGTTATAGAAAACTTGGATCGCAGACTGTTTTATAAATTTGAAGCCAAAGTTGTTGGATGAACTCGGTGCACTCTGATGTGACCATTTTATCATTCCACGCTTATGAGGAGAACTTACCAAAGAAACAAGAGGAAAACTCGCTAAAGAAATGAGAGGGAAATACTCGCCAGAAAGACAAGAGAAAACAAACTAGTCAAAGGAATTAATTGGAATTTACATTTTTTTTTATTGATTTCTAAGTCCAAATGCAAAACCATGGATTGGGCAACTAAGTCCAGAAATGCGAACTCCTGATTCGCTCAATCACCCTTTAAACCCTTACCAAAAACCCATTCTAAAGCTTCAATTCAAAAAGCAAAATACCAAATTAAAGATCTCCAAGTTTAGTAAACAATGCTTAACTTTGCAAACAATCTCTACTTTCACAGGCTTTCCGTAATCAACGTTTTTTGTAAACTTAGTTGCGCACAGCTGTGCCTGTACGTATAAACATTACTCAAACTACAAATATACAATGTGCTTCCCTAATCTTATTTTAAACCAATACTCTTAAATGGAAATATTAAAGATCACGTTTAGTTCACTGAACGTGAAATTATTTTGGGTATTATGATTGCTTTATGAGGAGAGCATGAGTTCATGATGATCTAAGATTACTCTGCGTGTTTAGTTCAGAAATTATTTTTTAGAAAATATTTTTCGTGTTTTCAAAATGGACCATAAATGTACAAATAAAGTTTTGAACTTATTAGAATTTATTTTTTTAAAAAAAAATAAAATTGAAACTTAAGAGATGATGATTTAAATTTTGAATAATAAACATTATAAATAGTGGGAAAAGAAAATAGAAATAATTCTAATTAAATTAAGAGATGATGATTTAAATTTTGAATAATAAACATATATTATAAATAATAGTGGGAAATGAAAATAGTAATTCAAATTAAATTATTCTTTGTGCTTGAATGTAAACAAACATAAATTGTTAGTATATATTTTGTGGATCTAGTAGTGGTCTCTACAAAGTACACATCCTCCTTTAGCAAAATAAGCAAATCAATAAAATATTAAATAGAAAAATAAAAATAAAAATAAAAGGTCTTAAACTTGTCGGCACTCGGCAAGTAACGTATATAAACTAGCTTCAATTCATTTATATTTTAAAACAATTTAAAGCACAGACAACTTAATCTACAATAATAATATCTACTATATATATATATATATATACTAATAAGAGCCCAAGAGAGTTAGGCCTATAATGGGTAGAAAAAATGGCGGTTACAGATTTTAATCAAATGAATGGCTCAGATTGATTAAAAGATTGATCAGATTTAAATTTTACACTAAAATTTCCTAAAATACCCACACACCGTTACTAATTCTGTTAAAATTTTAAGATTTGCCGTTAGTTCACCGTTAACTTACTCATTGATTTCAATAAAAAAAAGTCTTAGGTTCGAACCTCATCCAATCAAAGTTGGCATAATTAGTACTCTATTTTACTCTTATTAAATTAATATAAATAATAATAATTTAGTAGTTACAACAAAAAATAATACATATGCATTTCTTTAATTTAGAATTATGTGTCCACAATGTCTTTATTCAAAAAAAAATTATTCATTATCAATAAATTAAATAAGATAAATAATTTTATTAGTTATATTGTCTTTATTTTTTTTCAATATAAAAATTCTTTATATTCAAATTTATTAATTGATTATATTCGCTAAATTGTCCTTACAATGTCTTTATTCCGTGAAAAACAAATTATTAATTATCAATAAATTAATTAAAAGAAATATTTTCATTAGTTATATTGTATTTATTTTTCTCAAATGTAAAAATTTTTACATTCAAATTCATCAATTGATTATATTCACTACATTATCTATTATCTTTTTTGTGCACTATTTTTTTAATTAAATATCAAAGTTATAACATAAAATAATGCTATGTATTTATTTACCAAGTATTTTATTAATACCATGAAAAAAATTAAAAAAATATAATTAATAAAGCCAACCATATTAACTACTTGAGAGATTTTGTGACAAAGAGAGTATTCAAATCACACAACAAATTGAAGTGAGAACTACCTCGCAATGTCCTTGTTTGACAATCAGCAGTTAGCGGTTAGCGTTAGCGGATTATACTAGTGGATTTGACCAGCGAATTTATTTAATTATTAACATTTGGTAGAAAAAATGACCGCCAAATTGTTAAATCAAATGAATGGTTCATATTGTTCAGATTTTAATTTTTTTCTTTTAAGATTTTCTAATTTATCATTAATTATATGATTATTCATTTAACTTTTCCGTTAATTCACCGTTAGTCTAATTCTAATATTAAAGTCTAATATAGAATTATAACTACACCATTAATCTAATTCTAATATTAAATTCTTAATAGAACTTAACCACAAATCCTAATGTCGGAATCTCCTCAAACAATATTAGTATATATTTAATATTTTATGCCCTAATTTTTATTTGTTCTCCCTTATGTCCCTATTTGGTTTCAACCATACCTATACAATTATTTTATTGACAATTATAATCAATATTGACTATATTATCTTGCATTTGTAAACTTAGAATTACCTATTTAACCCGCACGGGCTTAGCTCAATGGTTTAGTGGGTAGTATTTGGGAGAAGAGACCAAGGTTTGAACCTCGGCGGCGGCAATGCGGGAATTATGTCCAAAATGGGCAGATTCCTTGTGCATATCAGCATTTGGCCCTGTCTGCTGAACCATTGAGTCACCGTGATTTATAACTTCCCACAATGCTCTGTCGGGTCGGAGTGTGGGGGGGCCTTTGGGGTTGGGGACTCAACCTTTGGGAGAAGAATTACCTATTTAAATACGCAAATTCAACCTTCAATTATCTATGCATAAACAATTTCAATATAATCTTGCCTTAATATATTTTAAAGTACTTATTTAAAAAAAGGCATTGGGCATTATCCCAATCGCGCAATGCGCATAAAAAACTAGTATTAAAATAAGGCTCAAATGAGGCGTACTGGCACGTACTTTTTTAAAAAAGAAATTCGTGCAAAGTTTGGCCATAATTAATTGGATTGTATCTTGGCAAAGTGAAAATATAATTATTTTATAAAATAAAATTACAACATTATAACTGGTATTTATGTGAATGAGGCTAGATATTCTGGAGTACTAGCTGGGTTGTTTTATTGTATGTACATCTAATTTTTATTCTTTGAATTTTACTTACTAATGTGACGGACATTAATATATTATTTTTTTATGTAGACATCTTTACAAGTGTTTATATCAAGATTTTAAATGTAAATTAAAAATAAAAATTGAGATCATAATAAAGAATGAAAGTATACGTAACATTTTTTTTTTTTCTGATATAATTGAAGCCTTGAGGGTGACATGCGATTCCTAAAAATGGGTTAGGTACCCCGTACCCGCCTATGTGCATTAGGAGGCTAGATTCAAGGTCGGTGGCACACTGGCACTGAGCTTTCTTTGAATTTGCATGGAAAAAGATTATATTATATGATTAGCCTTGTTTCTATACACAATATTCATTCATTATTATTTGACAATATATATTCTTCATATATAAAAATAAAAATAAAAAAATTGCCGTACACATAAACAATGTATTTAAAATAAATACATATTTGTTATTGATTTATAATTTTAATTAAGATTAAAACTTATGTTTTAAATTTATGCATGCATGCATGCATGATATTTTTCCCCTCAAACTGGTTTGTTAGGTAAGTAGTAGGGAAGTTTACATACCTTCCTTTGATTGTAAGTGACAGGTGTAGGGCCCAAAGGAAACCTCCCCTGCTAAGTAAAAGTATTCAAGGCTGGAATTTATGAAACCCACAGCCGCCGTTGAATAGCAACATGTATATGTGAGTGCTTGTTGGGGCAATTTCTATGTACCTTAACATACCTTCTTGTTCTGGTACGAGCTTAACTTAATAGTTTAGTAGACAATATTTAAGGAAAGAGACCATTGTTCAAACTTAGATTGTGTTAGTGTCAAAAAATTCTCAAAATAGATAGATCCATTATGCCCATCCGCATTTAACATTGTCTATTGAGTTATCGAGTCACTCTAATTTACATCATCTCAAATGTTCAGTCGATATGAATATATATATATATATATATATATATATATATATATATATATATATATATATATATTAACACAATGTGATTATGACCCAAACCAGCATTAAAGTCCCGATTCCACCTTAATAATTTAGCTGGATTAAAAATATATTACGGAGTAATTAATTAACATGAAATATCATTATATTATAGTGTGTCCCAACAGGTCACCCTAGCTAGTTGAACCTTCCACACAATACTTTAGTCACTATATAAATATAGTGGTAATACCTCCTACTCTTTCTCATACGAAAATCACAACAAATTAAATAACCTCTCTTTCGTTTTTCTCTCTAAAGTCTAAATCTCTCTCTCTCCCTCAAATAATATTGCACTTCCAACAGAGAATTATACACAGATCAGATCAGAGATGGAGCCAAACAATTTGCCAGTCATAGCGAAGAAGTTTTGGAGCATTGTGAGGGCGGCGCTTTTCATGTTGAAGCAAGGCATATGCAAGAGGAAGCTAATGCTTGATCTCAATCTAATGCTCAAGCGCGGCAAGATCGCCGGAAAAGCCGCCATCCACAGCCTCATGTTCCACCGCGGCAACCACCACTTGTCCGTCTTCGCCGCCGCGGCCACCCACCGCCCCTCCTCGTACCCCGATCCGCCTAACGAGTACGAGTTCAGCTGCAGAAACAGCCCCGCGTACAGGAAGAGCAAGCACTCGCTACACTTCCCGTGCGCTCACGCGCCACCCACCGACGACGACGGCGTCGTCACGGTCGACTCGTTCATGAAGGCCATGGAGATGCACATGTTGCACAGCGAAACGGCGTCCCCTGCGTTGCCGGGATTCGGGAGGACTCCGCTAGCGAGGCAGCTCAGGGTGACGGACTCGCCCTTCCCGGCGGTGGGAGACGCGGAGGCCGATTGCCACGTGGACGAGGCGGCGGAGGAGTTCATTTCCAGGTTCTACAAAGATTTGAGGCTGCAAAGTAATTAGTAGGATGAATCTTTAGAGAGAGAGAAGCCGCTAGCAAAGATCGATGATAAATTTGTTACGTGGATTGGATTTGCATGCAATAATTCGGGTCGGGTCGCCGGGGGGTGGGGGGTGGTTTGGTGGGGTGTGTGCCTGCTTTTTTTCCCAGTAATGGTGAAGAATGGGAGCTGTTGCAGTGTACCTTAATACTATATTTTTCAAGGGCAGAGGTTGAAATAAAGTTAAGTGACGATGAAATTCGATCAAAAATATCATGACATAATATCAAAAATCCTAAATTATACATTAGTATTATACCAATCATTGCGCATGGACTACTTGTTAGATATATCTCTAGTTTGACTGAATAAATCTAAATACGAGGAACTTGACCTCGTAATAGCAGAAGCTGTAGATCTCTCATATCTTTTAATTTCGTGTTGTACTGTGTTGCTTGACCTGCAGTTTAATGTTAGCCGTTTTGACTTATACTTACTCTGAATCTTGGTGTATTGGTATTTTCTGAGCAACTATTGTACCATAAACTGAAGGTGTTATATATTGTATATCTTATATTATAGGAGAAAATCTTACACTACTTGTTTGTTGGGATTGGGAGACCTTCGGCGAACACCTATACTAAAGGCGGACCAATCGATACATTGCAAGAAAATTTTGTTACTGTACTTTTTAGTTTGTTGAAGTGTTACACGTTGAGGGAGACGTATTTCACTCACCTATTTATTAATTGTTATAAAAAAAAATAAAAAATAATAAAACCCAACTTTGCCCTTGACATTGTTACATGTACACATTACTCGTTTATAAGAGCATATAATCCTCAAATTAAATTTTCATTTGTATCACTTCTACGTACTTAATTAGTTTATTGTTCATATGTTATTAAATAAGTAGAGGGAATATATACAAGGTGCAATATGTGATTCTTGAATGTAGTTGATTGAATTAAAGACAAAATGCATGGAGTAGCAAGTAGTCTAGCTGAAGGTACACGCAAATATTTACAAAGAGTGTGCATATTTTTTTTTTGAATATTGGCTCTATTAAAATGTAGCATATGTTCATAGCTACTTTCTCAACCTAATAAAACACTAAGAGTTAATATCGCCTCTACTGAGACTCGAACATACAACCTCCCAAGTCCAAATGCAAAGCGATTTATTGGGCAATTAAATCGAGCAACGTGCATGATCATATCATTGGTTTAATGTCCTTGAAAATCTCAGACCAAAAAGCAATTATAAAGCTTCAAAAAGGGCAAGAAATCAAAAAGCAAAATACCAAAAGATCTCAGCTCCAAGTTTAGTATATAACTCATTAACCACATGCTTTGCTTTTGTCAACACGCCCGCCTTTAATCGTACTTTGACAAGCTTTCCATAATCAACATTTTTATAAACTTGGACTGTATACATAAAATATAATTAAGTTCACTTTTAAAAGTAGACTCTACTCCATCTCATACCATCCCATTTGGCCATTTATAATTCATTACTATTTTTCTACATCATTTTAATTTCAGTTTACATTTTGTTGGTCTTGAGCAAGTAATAAAAGTCTAGAGACATGGAGGGGTTGAATAAATTTTATAAAATTTTCAGTTTGAAAGACAAGTACACTTAGTGCACAGCAGAATTCTTGGACTTGGCAAGTTTAATTTTAAGAAATAATATTGTAGCTCGTTAGATTTGAGCATGTAAGTATTTGTATGTGTTATGGATTGAATAGCAAATAAAGTAATAGAGTAAAGTATAGAGAAATTAATGATTTTTATATTGGTTTGGAAAAATCTCTTACTCTATTATTCTCCTATACACAAGGAGAAATTCACTAAGTATTTGATACAAATGATAAAGTGATAGATTTTACGCAAAATTTGATCACAAAATTTGGCTAGCCACTTGTTCTTCACTATCTTGCCACTTCTCTACAAGGATCTACAACAAAGTTATCTTGAGTGAAAAATCTTTCAACACTGCTACAGAGTTTATTTTTGTCATGTAAAAATAGGCCACTGTTGTACACTTGATTCTAAATGATTCAAAGAAGCTTGAGTGCTTGATGATTTTTGTGTAAGCACAATTCTCTCTCAAACGAATAGTTGAATTTTACAAGATATTGCCAAAAGTCAAATATTAATTATTGAAATTGATTCGTTTCATTTTTAATTTAAAATATCTTAAATGTCCTCAAATAAACAAATTTTGACTAAGGCATTTTGGGTATTTTAAAACTGATTTTTTAAATTGAGCGCTAAACGTTGAACAAAACAAAGTTGAGAACAATAAATGAAATTACTACTATACTCAATCTAAGGGAGCAAAGTGTAATAAACTCTTTGATTAATTAACTAACACTAATTCACGTTCAAGTTTTGTTATATTAATAATGACTTAAAAAAGAACTTTAAAATTTTTATTAAATGTAAAAATAAGGTTAGAAATTATTTTTTAAAATTGTATTTTTAAGTAAAAATTAAGAGATGATCTGATTTTTCTTCAAATAATAAATATGATGAATAAATTGGAAAATGAAAATAGTAACTCATATTAGATTACTTTTGGGTGATAGAAGGAAACCCCGATCACTATCCTTTGGTGTGTGGCCGTGTGGGTAAATTTTGCAAACCACATAGTAGAGGTAGGTCGCATTAAGAAGATCATATACAACGAGTTCGACCAAAAGAATATTGACAAGAATTGAATTAGTAATGTTTGGCTAAGAAAATTATGCTCCACAAATTAAACCCGGATACTCTTTTTGGGCAACTCATATTAGATTATTGTTTCCACTTGAATGAAAAAGAAAAAAAAAAAAGCATAAATTAAAATATATTATGTGGATCTAGTAGTGCGACCTTTTCACTACTTGTGGTCTCTACAAAGTAAACATGCATCTTCCTTTAGGAAAACAAGCAATACATGAATAAATAAATATAAAAGGTCCTAAACTTGTTAGCAAGTACGGAGTAACATATATGCTAGCTTCATTTATATTTTAAAAGAAATTAAAGGTACATACATTCACACAACTTATAATAATCTACAAAAAAAAAAAAAAAAAAAAAAAAAAAAAAAAGTAGAATTCACTATAAAATTGAGGTAAGGAAAAGACCAAAAAAAAAAAAAAAATTGGATTGTATTATGCACATAAAATTAAAGTAATACTTGAACGAGTGGTCTTGGCACGTACAAAACAATTTTTTTTAATTGGCGGAAAGTATGAATGTAATTAAATAAGAAACTTTTATGTGGTGCCATTGCAAAGTATTATAAATTAAAGGAAAATTATATTTGAAGTTGCATCTTTCTTTTTTTTTTTTTTTTTTCCTTGAATACTTAATAAATACATCTATTATAAAGAGTGAATTATAATACAGCAACAAACAAGTTGATCAAAAGTTTGAGAATAAATATAAAATAATAAATGCCTATTAATATTGATGAGACTTGGATATTTTGAAGAAGTACTATTGATTCCTATTGCCTATTTATGTAATTGCATTTAAAGATTAAAACATATGTTTTAGAATTATGCATGCATGATAGTTTCCCCTTCAAACTGGTTTGTTAGATAAGTACTAAGTAGGACAGAAGTTTACATACTAAAACATACCTTCCTTTGATTGTAAGAGACACGTGTAGGGCCCAGAGGAAACCCCCCCCCCCCCCCCCCCCCTGCTAAGTAAAAGTATTCAAGGGCAGAAATTGTGAGACGGCGCGTGAATTAACAATACACACGTGTGTATTTACACCCGTCACCCATGGTGGGGCAATTTCTACGTTAGGGCATATTCAATAGTGAGATTTTTGGGATGATTTTTAAAATATCAATTAAAAAAGAGAGGGAAAAAAATCTGACGTTGAAATGCAAAAAAAAAACACCTCGCTTGACGCGCCCAACGGGCGTGATATGTGCACCCCACGCACGCGCAAATGGCTTTCCCTTTCCCTTTCTCTTTCTCTCTCTTGGCCTGGCCCACAAAAACCTTCTATTGCAGAAAGACCCAAGACCTTCTCTCTCCTTCAAATAAACAATGCTTTTTCTTAAAAATCATGAAAAATCCACTAATGTAACATACCTTGTTAATTTGTGAAAGAAAGAAGAGCACAACTTTAATAATTAAGGGTGACCAGAAAAATCGCAACTATCACCTCACTTTGTAATTTTAGTTGATAAAAATTTACAAAAAGAATCAACTCAAATAAAAAAGATTAATATATTATTTTTATTATATATATCAAATTTAAAATATTATGGTTATTAAATCAACACTTTATTCCAACTTGGTGGATTGTCCCTTTGTTATAAAAGTTTGAATTAATCTCTTGTGATAACTTGTTGAGTACAATAGTAAAATGATCTTCTCATTCAAAATCACTATTTTTACTTATTTTTTCAGTTTTAATTCAGCAAATAATTAACAAGTCCTATAAAACACATTATTATCTAATAGTTTCCACGTTTGTCATACATTTTGAAATCTTATGTGATTAATAAGCACATTGTGCTTAGACCTTTGTGAATCTGTGATTTCCCTTAAGGGAAGGTCATAGGATCAGGAAAAAAAAAAAAGCAAAGAAAGAAAAAAATAGTTGCAATACAACGTTGAGTACCCTTAATTAAAATTATAGTTGTATATGATTATCACAATAATTTTATATTCCTTGTGTTAATTTTAAATACATGCACAAAATGATCGAACCTTAGTGGATATTTAAGAAACTTCTTTCAACTCAAAACAATCAACTTTACAATTGCATTTTATCTATTTGAAAATGATTTACGTACTAAGAGTAACCTCAAAAGCTATAGTTTTTTTTTTTTTTTTGATTTTTTTTTTTAGGTTTTTTAGGTATCAATTAGGAAAGAGAGAGAAAGGAGGGCAAGAAAAAAAGGGAGTAAAAGAAAAGGAAAAAAAAAATATCTGACAAAAAATAATTTTTTTTTTTTTTTTAAAAAAGTTACTATTACCCGCCCAGTAAGTGTGTGCTATGTATGGGTGTAAACGAGTCGAGCCGAGCTCGAACCTGGGTAGGCTCGAGCTCGAGCTCGTTAATGGAGGCTTCGCTCGAGTTCGAGCTCGAGAACTGATGCTCGAGCTCGAGCTCAGTAATTTTCGGGTTAACTCGAGCAGCTCGATTGTTCGAGTTCGAACTCGAGCTCGATTTTGATATTGAATTTGACCTTTTAATACTTTTGATTTAAAATTCAAACTACTTTGTTTTATCCATACATAAATAATGAAAATCTTTTAGTGATTTTGAGATTAAAATTTTAATTTCTAATTGTTATTTTATATATTATATTATATATTATATTATATTATATTATATTATATTATATTATATTATATTATATTATGTATTATATATTATATATATTATATATTATATAGCTCGCGAGCGGCTCGACGAGCCACGAGCCTAGAATATCTAGGCTCAGCTCAAGCTCGATTACTAAACGAGCCACTCGAGCTCGGCTCGAGTTCGATTTTGACCGAGCTCGAACCGAGCTGCTCGCAAGCGGCTCGGCTCATTTACAACCCTAGTGCTATGGATGCGCTCAACACGCATTTCTCTGGCTTTGTTTTCCATTTTCTCTCTCTTGGTCAGGCCCACTAAAAACCACTTCTTCCAATAATAAAAACCCACAAAAAAATTTGTTCTCCATTTGTTGAAAAACCTTCCTACCAGATTTTGGAAAGCAAAAATGACATAAAATCCACTATTGTGAATACTCAAACTGAGTTTAAATATTAGACACAAATTTTAATTTATCGCAAAACATGTAGAAAATACTAATGGTATCCGGGTTGGACTTTCATTTGGAAGGTTATGAGTTCGAGTCTCAGTGGAGGCGTTATTAGTTCTTTGTGTTTCAGTAGGTTGAGAAAGTATATGAACAGATACTACAATGTAATAGAGCTAGTAGCATTCAAAAAAATGTAGAAAATACTAGATTCATTAGATGCAGATGAAAATCAATAAGGCAAAAAGTATTTGAATATTGATTAATTAAAAAAAGACCAAAATAGCTACTTCGAGCAAAATAATAGTAAAACTAAAAATAAAAAACAGAGGAATTATATATATAATATTTTTCATCTCCAACTACAAGTCTAAATTTATAGTCAAATTATACATTTGTGTTGATATATTATATGATTAACGAAAAAAGATAAATATATATCCTTGGTATAACTCACAAATTAAATATGCAATTTTCCCTTTCTGTTCAAATGTATGAAACAAGACATCGAATAATTCACGTTAATATTGGTACGTTACATTATTTTTTTTTTTTTAATTTTTTTGAAAACGATGGTACATTACATTATATTCTGTTAATTATTAATTTCTTTGATTTGTACCATGAATCATGTGGAAGATGTGCACTGCAGTAGCCGGTAGACAAATGAATTTGAGCTGAGAAATAACTGAAACTGACACAACCCATCCAGCTTTAAAGCTTCAAATTAAATTTCTGTGGTTGTAGCGTAGAGAGATTATGTTTAAATAGACAAATCTCTTGTCTGCAGATCTTTTCTCTTCGCCGACATTTGGCCTTGTCTATCAGTGTTATAAAAATCGCGTCTAGGCGCTAGGCAGTCGGTCTCCTAGGCGCCCTAGACGCTCTAGGCGTCCGCTTAGGTGTTCTAGGCGCCCGCCTATGCGCTTTAGGCGCCGTAGGCGGTCCTCATGCGCCTAGTGATTTTTTCAGTATTGTAGAGTCATTGAGTCACCGTAATTTACTTCATCTCAAATATTCTATTGGGTCGAGATGCGGGGAGCCCTTAAGTTTGGAATTCAACTAGGAGAAGCTCCGATCCGAATCACCAACTCGCCTCAATAATTGAGGTGGATTATAAAACATTAATTAACACTAACACCAAATATCATATTAGCGTGTCCCGACCGGTCACCCTAATACTTTACTCACTATAAATATACTGCTAATACCTCCCCATTCTTTCTCATACGGACCTTACAACTTTCTTTTCTCTCTCTAACTCTCTCTCTCATATATTTCACTTCCGAAAGAAAATTATACACAGAGATGGAGCCAAACAATTTGCCGGTGATAGCGAAGAAGTTTTGGAGCATTGTGAGGGCAGCGCTTTTCATGTTGAAGCAAGGCATATGCAAGAGGAAGCTTATGCTTGATCTCAATCTAATGCTCAAGCGCGGCAAGATCGCCGGAAAAGCCGCCATCCACAACCTCATGTTCCACCACGGCAACCACCACCACCACCACCACTTGTCCGTCTTCGCCGCCGCCCGCCGCCGCTCCTCCTACCCCGCCCCGCCTAACGAGTACGAGTTCAGCTGCAGCAACAGCCCCGCCTACAAGAAGAGCAGCAAGCACTCGCTTCACTTCCCGTGCGCTCACGCGCCGCCCACCGACGAAGAAGGTGTCGTCACCGTCAATGCATTCATGAAGGCCCTGGAGATGCACGCGCTGCAGAGCGAAACGGCGTCCCCTGCGTTGCCGGGATTCGGGCGGACTCCGTTAGTGAGGCAGCTCAGGGTGACGGACTCGCCCTTCCCGTTGCGAGACGCGGAGGTGGACTGCCACGTGGACGACGAGGCGGAGGAGTTCATTTCCAGGTTCTACAAAGGCCTGAGGGCTGCAAAGGAATGAATTTAGAGAGAGAAGTTAATTTTGTTACGTGGGTTTGCATTTTGCATGCAATAATACGGGCCGGGTTCTCGGGGTGGGTCGGGTTATTTTTTCCCTTTTCTTTTTTCCTTGTAATGCAATGAAATTGTGAAGATTATATTAGAATGGGAGATGTGAATAGTGCATGTCAATATTATATTGTTGCATGTACAAATTACGAATGGAAATTAATTAGTTTTCTTCCCTATGTCCAATTGTTTTAGAGATTTTTGTTTTTGTTTTTTTAACTTCTTGAAGTATATATCTTTACCATTCTCCTAACTTTTTAGAATTATAATTATTATATAAAAAAATTTAACCAAAAAAAAAAAAAAAGTTATGGCCTTGTGGGAGTAGTTACGCTCTTACCAGCCTTTTCTGGGAAATAGGGAAAGAAAGCTGGCAGTCCCGGCAAAAGTGACAAACTCATCCCAACAACATTAACAAAGAAAAAAAAAATGTTCTTTTCTTCTTATCTAAGTGATATTATCAATATATATATATATATATATATATATATATATATATATATATATATATATATATATATAGATATAGTGACACCAAATCAAATTAAATATAATTAAAAATAATACTAACTTTTTTTAGTACTACTGAATCTGTTATATTGTAGTATATATTCATATATACTTTATTAACATATTAAAGCACAAAGAGTTAATACTGTGTCAACGGAAGCTCGAACCCATTTAGGAGAGTCCGTTCATGTCATTCAACCACAAGATTATCATTGGCATAATACTAGCTTATTGTAGAACCCAAAATAATTATATTTTGAAGCAATATAATAGTATCTTCAATCATCTGCTTACCAATTAATTACTCTAAACTGTTAATTAAAATGTTTCATTATTTTAATACTCCAACAAATCATCAGCACCATCATATTACTAACTTGATTATGGAATCTGATGAACGTAGCCTCCTAGTAGGATCGTACCATAATATATACGGAGTAGAATTTAGGACTGAGATTTGAAGATAGATTTGCCTTAATTAATTCTTTGAGGATAGGATTTAATTAATATTGATTGTAAGGATAAGAAAAAGTGGTGGATGTGATTCCACTAATTCCAAAAGCAGGAATTATTGAAAACCCTTTTAAGTACGGTAAGGGCCTGTCTTCTCTCATCTCTCTTATTCTTGCTTTTATTTCTATTTTTATTAAACTATAATATCAAATATAATTTAACAGGCAAGCAATACACGGAGGATTTGAATTCATAACTTTTTAATTTGTCTGTTTTGATACTAAATCGAATGATATATTTTATCTTACTTATATTTTAAAAATGTAAATTAACAGTGAGTCCGCACATTTATTAATGTATATATTGTACTCTACCCAAATTAGACAATTAATTTAAAGAATATATTGGTATTTTGTAACGGTTATATCATATACAATAATTTATTTTTTAAAAAATGGGTATGTAAAATCCTAGCTATTGTTACATGAGAAGCTTAATATATATAAGGAATTCCTATATATAATAGGGATGTAGTGTTAATGGATTATTTTGAGCTTTCTTAGCCTCTTAGGTAGACTTTTGTTCATTTGGCTTTATTTCAATAAATAACTAGACGAGGTTACGTTGAAGAATTAATTACAAATTAAATTATAAATTATTTGATTTTTATTTTTTAATGGGGCAATAGTTTGGGTAGTTAAGATTCAAGCAAGTGATTCAACTTAATTTATAACTTAAATTGAATGGTGAACTACCGGGATTAATTTAAAAAATATATATATCATATACTCCGTAATTATCTAGATTTATCGAACACATCGAAATTAATAATTATATTAAAAATAATACACCTAATATAGAAATATACACCGGCTAGAAATTATGGAATTTTCGACCTCCTGAAAGTGATCTTCAAGTCAAAAGTCTTGTTCCGATCACTTTTGGTATCCGAAAAAACTTTTGTTGCTATTTTTGATAACTTTTTACTTTCAAATTGATTTAAAATTACTGTCAGATGATCAGAAATTCCATAATTTTCAAGAGTGATACTTTGCCCACATATATAGAAATATACTCTTTAGATGGGTAGTAGTACGGAGCAATATTTAGGAAGGATGTGATGTTTTGGGATAAACTCGAGCACAGTTGGAGTTGCAATTGTGATTATTTGTCCCATCTTATTCATTAATACTTAATTAATTAATTAACTTGCAAATTTGAAACCTAATATCGTACGTGACAGATGGTGCACTCTGAATACGCGACTTTGGTACGCTTTTAGATTTGGGCCCTTGCGCCTCAATTATTTGCATATCATCATCCATCCCATATCGCTTTCAAATTTGTGAATTTCTTATTTATATATCTCCTCATTTATTTGGTATTCTCTTAAACTATTCATTTATATAAATTTGTAATATTCTTATTATATGATACAATTCCATAAAAGAAGAGTCATGGAGCGACATAAAAAATCAATGTAAATTTTAAGTGTCTTCGTATCATATAAATCGTGTCCATTATATTAAAAAAAAAAAACAAAAAAAGTCTCATTTAATCAAAGACAATCCACGCCTTATTAGATATATTAAACCTCAAATTAATTATTAAAACAATCACTTTCAATTGAGTTTTTTTTGGAATGCCAATTGAGTTTAATAATATTGATATACGAATCATGTGAATTTAATTCATCTGGAAAACCATATCACATTAATAAATACAAGTTCCGTCATTTTAACAACTTTATAAATGTTTGAAAGTCTTTGTATTTTAATTTATTGAATTGAATTGCAAATCCTGTACGTACATGGTTTAGGTAAATCTTTACAAGAAATCTAATACTTGGTGTTTATAGCGTCCAAGGAAAATGTTGTTTAATTACTATAATATTATTTCAGAAAATGAACAAATATTTCTCCGATAGTGACCAACAAATAAAATCCAATTATGGTTTCTTAAAACACAAGCCAACGACAATCATCATGTTGATAAAGTCACGTCGCTCAACCATAAAGTCTTTGGCAAAATGATTTGTTTTCAATATTGTGGAGTAATAAAACATCATTTTAAGGTTAGTAAAGTTTATTCCGTCCAATTGAGTTTAATCTTGATTGAAATTTAAGGAATAATATTAGACAAGTGAACTTATTTTCTGCAAAGTCATATATATGGATCGGATGTTTATCAACTCAAAACTTTTTAACATGCTGCATTATCTACAAGTGTCATATATATTTTTAACCTTATAATTACATTAACAGTTCGCTTATCAACTGTTCTAAATTACTATGAATTACTAAGGCAATTTGTCCATAGTAGTATACATACACCATATATATAGTAGTCAAAGTTAAAGGTTTGGGTGGTCAAAGGTGAGTGGAACCTAACTTAGCGTGCATGCAATAAAAAGATGGATAAACATGCATGCATGCATGCTTTTTTTTTTTGAAAGTTCATTTCAATTATATTCTACCTTCCCCATTCATGCCTGCAATCTCCATCAATGTCCAATCCCCTTCTAAAAAGCCTAGCTAGTAGTGATCCATTTCAATTCATTCAGGGTCATTGACTAAAATAGATATATGGATAGAATTTGGATGTGAAAAAATGGAAATAGATATCTTTAGTTTTAAAAGAGATAAAACATACTTTTTTGTGTAAATATGTTTCAACTTAATTACCAGGATTATGTGGTCCAATGGTATTCGGGTTGGACTTTCACTTGGAAGGTTGTGAGTTCGAGCCTCAGTGGAGGTGTTATTAGCTCTTTGTGTTTCAATAGGTTGAGAAAGTATATGAGTAGATACTACAATGTAATAGAGCTAGTAGCATTCAAAAAAAAAAAATAAATGTTTCAACTTAATTTTTATTTTTTTTTTTATCTCCAAAAATAATTTGTAGAGAATAAACCAAGCGAAACACATCTCATAATAAAAGAGTTTTGTTTGCCTATATATAAGTTTTGTTAAAAAAACTTAACTTATTTTAGTTAATGTTCTGAAATTTTAGTCCCTCTATCTATTGTACTTCCTCCTCATGCCACCCGTGCAAAAAATGTATAGTATGCACATTAATATGTCATGTCGACATGTATACATGCACTAGACACAAATAATTTTGATACACTTTATACTAGTTTTTAAGTTATCATTGATCTATAACTTTAGATAAGAATTCACAAGTCTAATAATGCATAATAATGATAATATTATCAAACTTAATGATCACGAAAACTTGTAATTCATCATAAATATAATTATATTGTAATATAAATTGGCAATTAGGTAACCTAGCTAATAATGGTTTGCATATATAGTGAAATTGATGTTAGTATCTCTATTATCTTGACTTAATTACATTATTGATCTTAATTAGTACATAATATTTATTATTTAATATAACCTGTAAGAAAGTGTGTGCGTGTAAAGAGAATGAATGAGATATATAGTTGATAGTTTATTAATAATATATACACACACGAAAGTCCAGGTGGTGTATGGATAAGTGGCCTACAACTTTGTGTTTGGAAATGTGTATCCAAAGTAGATGACTTGGAACCAAAAAAGACAAACTATAAAAAGCCAAGAAAGCTACGACTCAATTCAAACAAATTAAAAGAGAGAAAATTAATGGGTTTTGTGGGGGGAATTGTAGTGCGCCACCCATTGCTCAATTATTCAACTCTCTCTTTAGCCAATGCACTCTTTTACTTTGGTTGAAAATGAGGTTCTCAAGCCGCATGCATAACTCAATTATTAAGCATTCAATAATAAGTCTTGCTATTAATAAGGAAGAAAAAAAGACAGTGAAAAAAAAGGAGGGTTATATTGGTTAAAGTCATAGAGATAAGTCCTTCAAGTACATATTAAAAATGTACATTTCAAATCTTATACTATTAATTTGATGTAATTTAATATATACTCTGTGCTGAAAACAAACAAATTTATAATAATTAGAATTTTTGTGACAATGAAAACTCACAATTTACTCACTCGATGGTGAACACAAAGTAAATCATGCTCTTGTACAATAGCTTGTAAATCCACTGAATAGGTAAATCATATTAGAAAGATCTTGTACAACAAACTCGACCGAGAATGTCTTGGGAAATAAGCATAAAAGATACTTGTAAGAATTAGAATTTGTTAACATGTATTAGTATTTACAAATGTGTAACAATACTTTATATTTATTAATTGAGTTATTTCCACTAGAGGTTCCTTGTCTTTGGTGGCAAATCCAAATTTAGTCTTAGACTATTTTTTTGCCATTTAACATCCCAGACTATTATTTTTTGGACACTTTTAGTTATTCTCATGACTTTTCTTATTTTTAGTAAGGGCATTTTTTGTCTTTTTATATATATATTTTTTATTATTTTTTCGGGTTTCAACCGGTTTAAACAGTTTAGAACTTTAGGTAACCTCTAATTTTTAGTAACCATATTTTTCAACTGGTTTTTAGTAAAGTTCTAAACCAATTAAACCGATTGAAACCGGAAAAATAACAAATGAAAAATATGAAGAAACAAAAATGCCCTTACTAAAAATAGAAAAAAATATGAAAAGGACTAAAAATGTCCAAAAAATAATAGTATGAATGTTAAATGGTAAAAATGATAGTCTGAGACTAAATTTGAAATTGCCACGAAAGACAAGAGACCTTTGGTGGAATTAACCCTTTTATTAACTACTTATGAATTGATAAATTTTATCATATAAAATCATATTAGACCTTCCACCAATCCATTGCTTTAATGCTAGGCCCCTATAAGTAAAATAAAAGAAGAAAAAACAAAAAAGCTAAGGGAAATAATCTAAAGCTTAGTGACAAAAAGCCCAACCTCTTTAGTTACTGTTTAGAATAAGAATCATAAATTGCATTCATATGTTGTTGCAATTGGATAAGAAGTTGGGTTCACAAAGTATTATCCACTCGATCTGCATTATTCATGATTCAATACAGTTGTTGAATCCCTCTCTCCTTTTATGCTTTAATTTCTTAAAGTTATGGACCACATTTTCTTTGATTATTTGCAGGGGACATATATTTAAGTGCTTATTTGTATTCGATTAGTGAAGAAAATTTTGGATAAATAAAAAAAAATATAAAAATGAAGTTTGTTTTTAAAAATAAACAATTATTTGTCTCTGTGGAGAATAAACTACTAGAGACACATATATGAAATAGTCCAAATATAAGTGTGCACATGAAATAATCTTTTGAATGGTAAATATTTAATATGTAAATTGTGAAAATTTAGTATATAAACTGTGTATTTTTTGACCCGAATTCACCTTGCAAGGTAGATCCGGATCTATAGAATAATTTGCGGCAAATTATGCTGCGAGCACGTGCCCACCTTGCAAGGTGGGCACGATTTCATATCCATAATTTTTATATTGTAGATTCATAATTTCTATATTGTAGATCCATAATTTCTATACTGTAGATTCATAAAATTTATACTTTAGATTCCAATTGCTGAACTCTGTTTTTACAAATCAAAGAAATATATGTTCATAATTTGATAATTATACAGTTTAGAAATTATAAATTTACAGTACAGAAATTATGAATCTACAATACAGATATTATGAATCTGCAGTATAGAAATTATGAATTTACTGTATAGAAATTATGAATCTATTGTATTTAAATTATGAATCTATGGTTTAGAAATTATGAATCTAAAATATAAATTTTATGAATCTATAGTATAGAAATTATGGATCTACAGTATAGAAATTATGAATCTATAGTATAGAAATTATGGATATGGAACCGTGCCCACCTTGCAAGGTGGGCACGTGCTCACAACATAGGCAATTTATATCGTGCACCAGGACGCGCATTGCATTGTGCGCCCTGATGCAAAACGACGTCGTTTCAAATTTTATTTTTTTTTGAAATTTCGCTACCTAGTTTTGGCGGTTAATTTTCCTTTAAAAAAAATCTCATGTTAAAAAATGTACATGATTTTATACTAGAATACACATAATTGTATACATGAATATACATGATTGTATAAACAAATAAACATAATTGTATAAACAAAAACACATAACTGTATAAAAAAATACACATAATTGTATAAACAAATACACACAATCACGTCAACTCCCTACATAACTGACAAAAACGACGTCGTTTTTGAGAGGCGCGGGGCGCACAGTGCTATGTTTGCCGTAGTGCAGGGTATAACGATTGCACAACATAACATTACATAATTTGCCCTTTAGATTAGATTAGACTAGATATTATGGGCGCAAATTATGCTGTGCAACCGAATGCACCATGCGCATGGTGCATTCGATGCAGAACGACGTCGTTTTGGTTAAAAAACGCGCGTCCCACTTAAAGAAGAAATCAGGTTCGATTTCCGGCAATAACATTTTTATATATCCATAAATTCATAACTATATATCTACAAATTCATAACTATATATCCACAGTGAATGAATGAAGTAAAAATCCACAATGAATGAACTAAATATCTACAATGAATGAACTAAATATCTACAATGATTGAACTAAATATCCACAATGAATGAACTAAATATCCATAAATTCATAACTATATATCTATAAATTCATAACTATATATCTAGAAATTCATAACTATATATCCATAAATTCATAACTATATATCCACAGTAAATGAATGAAGTAAATAACTACAATGAATGAACTAAATATCCACAATGAATGAACTAAATATCCATAAATTTATAACTATATATCCACAAATTCATAACTATATATCCAGAAATTCATAACTATATATCCACAATAATGCTATTATCGAGAATAGAACCTAAATTATTATTTTTTAAATGAGACGCACATTTTTAGTCAAAACGACTTCGTTTTGCATCGTATACAGTTATGCATCATGCGCATGGTGCATTCGGTTGCACATCATAACTATTGATATTATAGGTTGATGGGCTTATACATTTCATGAAAATATTTAAAACGTTTAATGGGTTATAGATTAGATATGATGGGTTGATGGGCCTTACATTTGATGAAAATATTTAAAACTTTTAATGGGCTCTACATTAAGCCCATGGAAATCCAGGCTCCTATAAATTATTGTTGTGGTCCAAATCCTTCCCCAAACCACAAGTTTTTAGAGCGGTGGCTGTTAAAATCCAAAATGTTCCTGAATTTCTTTTCTAGAAATTATATTGTAATTTTCTCCTCCCAATCCTGACCGTCTATCCCATCTATCGAAATCCCATCAAGGGTCATCTTTAATTCTCTCACATTCCTCGTATTCCCAAAAATATATTCACAAATACAGTTTTCCGTATATCTCTCTCTCTCTATTCGTCTGTCTCTCTTTCTTCCTCTTTCTCTCTCTTTCTTTCCTCATTTTTCCAAAACTGTACAGATCCCTAATCCTCTTTAACCCACGAAACGCTAATTCTTCTGTGATCATCAACTGCTTTCAGCTCTCTCGTGTTTATATACTCGTCGATCGCTACTCTTCTCTTTAAGCTTCGATTCTTTTCTGGGATAGGTTTTCTGGAAAAACGCGTATTATTATATTGGTAAGGTTTTGTTTAGTGTGTGCGGAGGAAGAGAGTGGGCGTTGTGATAAATTCATTAGGGTTTGAGAATTGAGAGGATGAGAATCGGACGATGAACGATGCCAGTGCTGCGTGGTGGAGCGCGCAGAGGCCGGAGACCGAAGCAGCAGCCAGAGGCGGAGACACAGCCGAACACTAATAACGACCAGACTCCGATTGAGGGTGAGGCGATTGCTGCGAGGACCAGGAGGAGGAGAGCGGCGGCAGCGGCGGCGGCGACGCCGCCTGTGGATGAGAACGTAGGTCGGATACCACCTGCAGCTGCAGCGGCGGCGGCGGCGGAGGGTCGAGCTGTAGAGAAGGAAGAAGCAGTTCGAGCTAAGAAGAGAGAGGAAGTTGGCGACAAGGCCATGGATGATTTTGATAGTGGTGCTAAGAGCCCTGAAAAAGGTCATGCTGCTGAGGATGATGGGAGCGCAGCCCCCCTTCCTGAAAAGGTAAGTCCTTTTATGCTGCGTTTTTGTATTTTTCCATAATGGAGTGTTTCATTTTCGTATGACTCATTGATTTCGTGAAAATTTGTTTACATCATTAAAAAAAATGCATTTTTATATGAAGTTAAGCCAGTAAAAGAATCCTGGTTTCTCTTGGTGTGACATTTTTGTACTGAATCAGAGAATGATTACAATAGGAATGGCTGCTAACAACCTAAAATGATTGGAATGGTCTAATAGATGGAGGGTGAAATGCCCGATTAAAATCACAGAAATTTGTTAGTGTGCTCAGTTTGATTATTCCATTGAAGGGACTAGACTTTGTGTTGAAAAAAACTGTGTTTCAAACGTTATAGGTTTGGGAATGCTTCATATGTGTTCCTTGTGAAGATTTTCTATAGATAGTAGTTATCTGCTGCCTCTTCATAAACAATACTAAATCTCTGCTACAGGTTCAAGTAGGTGGTTCACCACTATACAAGATAGAAAGAAAGCTTGGCAAAGGAGGCTTTGGACAAGTCTATGTTGGTCGCCGTATTTCTGGTGGTAATGCAATTGACAGAACCGGCCCTGGAGCAATAGAAGTATATGTCATGGCACCCTTACTAATAGATTAAATTTCTCTCTTATGTGTTAAATTCAAACATGCTTATGTTTTTGTGTTCTGCTGCTGTAGGTGGCTTTGAAATTTGAGCATCGAAATGGTAAAGGATGCAGCTATGGACCACCTTATGAATGGCAGGTTTACAAGTAAGATAAATAATCCTTACGTTGTAGCAATTTGGTTGTATGTTGTTGTTGTGCTGAAAGTCGATTCACTTTTCATTTTTGCAGCACTCTTGGGGGCAGTCATGGTGTACCGCGAGTGCACTATAAAGGCCAACAAGGTGATTATTATATAATGGTATGTCTTGAGAACACCTTTTCACCCTGGTATATATACATTGCTTGGAAATTGTATACATAGTCATGTGAATGATATGGAGTCTATTTCATGCAATCCTGCTTTTAAGTGTATTATACATATGATTTTTAATTGCTATAGGTAATGGATATGCTTGGGCCAAGCTTATGGGATGTTTGGAATAATAACTCTCACACGTAAGTATAAATACACTGACTGAAGGTTATTTCTATCATCATTGTACCATGTAAGTAAGCAATATCAAGTTTTTGTTTCACAGGATGTCCATTGAAATGGTAGCCTGCATTGCTATAGAAGCTATTTCAATATTGGAGAAGCTTCACTTAAGGGGGTGAGATTCTCATTTAACATTTCACCTGATTTAGTTCTTTTTAAGTAGAGATAATTTAGAAAATTTTACATAATTTTGACTGGTGTACAAGAGCTTTGGCAGGTATGTTCATGGGGATGTTAAACCTGAAAACTTCTTGCTCGGTCAGCCAGGGACTCCTGATGAGAAAAAACTGTTTTTAGTTGATCTTGGCTTAGGTAATTCATCAGTTCTGCAATTTATGGTGCCTTTTTTGTGTGTGTGTTATCTTATTATATACTTTTCTTGGGTGATCTTACAGCAACTAAATGGCGAGATTCTTCAACTGGCTTGCATGTTGATTATGATCAGAGGCCAGATGTATTTAGGTAAGGGGTACAAGCTACTGGCTATATGTAATGGAGGAAAAAACATTATATAAATTCTTCTTTTTAGTCTTCAGGGCTTTCCTGGTAAACTCTTACTGCTTGTGTGCTTATCTATCAGGGGAACTGTTCGGTATGCTAGTGTCCATGCCCATTTAGGCCGAACTGGTAGCAGGAGAGATGATTTAGAGTCTCTAGCTTACACACTCATTTTCCTCCTTCGTGGTCGTCTGCCTTGGCAAGGCTATCAGGTTTGTACATATAAAAACAGTAAACTGGTGTATATTTCTCATTATATGTTTATTTTTCATATACTAGCAAGTGCTAACATGAATACATGATGGTTACTCTTCTCAGGGTGAAAACAAGGGGTTTCTTGTCTGTAAAAAGAAGATGGCTACGTCTCCAGAAGCTTTGTGCTGCTTTTGTCCCCAACCTTTCAAATTGTTTGTGGAACATGTAGTGAATTTAAAATTTGATGAGGAACCTAACTATGCAAAATATATCTCCCTATTTGATGGGATAGTTGGACCAAATCCAGATATTAGACCAATAAACACAGATGGGGCACAAAAGGTTCTTATACTTTTCTTTAATGTCTTATGTTTCAGTTTAATTTCTTACTATGCTCTTAATATATTAATGATCGATCTCATGTGCTTCACTTGTGCCATGCACAGCTTATCTATCAGGTTGGTCAGAAGAGGGGTCGTCTCACTTTTGAAGGTGAGGATGATGAACAACCAAAGAAAAAGGTGCGCATGGGGATGCCTGCTACACAATGGATTAGTATTTATAATGCTCGTAGACCAATGAAACAAAGGTAAAACCATCTTCCTCAGTTATTTTGGACATACTAATCTTCTCTTTTCATCTCATTAGTGCTATGAGAATATAATTGTTTATTGTGTATTCATGTAGGTATCATTACAATGTTGCTGATACGAGGCTATCTCAGCACATAGATAAAGGAAATGAAGATGGGTTGTATATAAGCTGTGTAGCATCTGCCAGTAATCTGTGGGCTTTAATCATGGACGCCGGAACTGGTTTTACTCATCAAGTGTATGAGCTTTCACCATATTTTCTTCACAAGGTATGTATTTCTCTTTTTGCTCCCAACCACCAATGCCTTCTTGGATTTTGATGGTTCATGTATTCTTTCAAGAAAATCAATAATAAAAGTAAAGTTTATATTTTTTTTAAATGCCTCCCGAGTTCTGAGTCACCTTATTTTGAATGGAGAAGTAATTATTCTGCTTAACCATATTGATGTTAAGCCATATTTACAATAAGTTTGCTTTGTATATACTGGTACGAAGTTCCATGTTCTTCTCACTCGGCTAAGTGTAATTTTAATTCTTTTGGTGTTTAAAGGAATGGATCATGGAACAATGGGAAAAGAATTTTTATATCAGTGCTGTTGCAGGAGCTACTAATGGGAATTCATTGGTGGTAATGTCAAAAGGTTAGTGTTGGTTCCATTTCTGGATTCTTTGTTTTATTCCATATATGTATTTTGCTTGACTTTTTTCTTTTCTCCGATTAGGCACACAATATTTGCAGCAGTCTTACAAAGTGAGTGAATCTTTTCCGTTTAAATGGATAAACAAGAAGTGGAGAGAGGGCTTCTATGTTACCTCGATGGCCACTGCTGGCAGTAGATGGGCTGTAGTCATGTCTCGTGGTGCTGGAATTTCAGAACAGGTTCCCCATTAATCCATAATATTTTCTTAAAAGTAATTACTTGACATGGTATACATGACCTAATTTCTCTTTCATTTTCATTCTAGGTCGTCGAATTGGATTTTCTTTACCCTAGTGAAGGTATCCACAAGAGATGGGATGGCGGATACCGTATTACTGCTACTGCTGCAACGTGGGATCAGGCCGCTTTCGTTCTAAGTGTTCCTAGACGAAAGCCATCCGATGAAACACAGGAGACACTTAGGACTTCTGCCTTCCCTAGCACTCATGTTAAGGTTGACTGACTACCCGTCATCTTACATCAATACTGTTGCTTGGATCCCGAATGTTTTCCACTAATACCCTTGTATGAATTTTTGGTTTGATCTTGCAGGAGAAATGGGCTAAAAATCTATACATAGCATCTGTTTGTTACGGGCGTACAGTGTCATAGAAGTGCCATCATCAAGGTTAGATCTCCCGTCGATGACTACCCAAAACCTGGACCGTAGTGGAAAATGAAGATAATAAAAGTCGCGTCTGGGTAGAGAAATTTTGATTTGGAACGAACTTATAGTCATAGCTGCACTTGGTACCGTGTTTAGTGGGGGTGGGGGTGGGGGGGTTATTGTGTTGTATGTAATGTGGATGGATGTGCATAGTGTGTTCTTACTTCTGTTAGCATAAATGGCGGCTGTAGTAACACATTTCTGCCATCAGATTCATGTAATGTTTCTTCGCAGTTAAGGGCCATATCCATATTGGTTAGAGACGTTGTCTAATTATACATTATTAACTTGCATCTTACTTTGGAATCCCTACATATTCTTGCATTGTTCCCTCTTCTCTAAATATAAGCTTAATATTCTCTCCTTTTTTTTTTTTTTTTTTTTTTTTTTTTTCAAAATTTCTCCTTTAAAAACACTCTCCCACCTTCAAAATTTCTCCTTTAAACTTTATTGCTCTTTATTACGTGTAATAAAACGTATTTAACATATGTACAAGCTCTTAATAACACCCCCAAGTCTTAAACCTCATCGTAGCATTTTCAAATGAAAATACGGAGTACAAGAACTATATATTCATAAATAATAACTAATGGTTGAAAAATCATATATTGTAAATTGAGTTAATACCCAAAATCGTCATCGACTATAGTGGTTTTTTTCAATTTCGTCTTAAACGACTTTGGTGACCTAATATCGTCCCAGACTTTTGTGTTTCGCTCAATTTAGTTCTCCATTTGTTATTCTGTTAAATTAGTGCTAAATAAAGGGACAATTCAGTAATGTCAATATTGATCTCTCTTTACTTTCAACGAAGTGCGAAATTCCTCTTTCTTGTACGAATCACACCTAGAATTACTCCCGGACCTGCAAATCAAATTTTATATTTGCAGTTTTAGGAGTAATTCGTAAAAAAAAAAAGGGGATTTCGCAGTTCACATGTCTATGAGTAAAGAGATGTCAATATTAAAATTACTGAATTGTCTATTTATTTAACACCAAATGGACAGAATAACAAATGAGGGATTAAATTGAGCAAAAACACAAAAGTCTGGGACGATATTAGGTCACTAAAGTTGTTTAGGACGAAATTGAGAAAAATCATTATAGTCGAGGACGATTTTGGGTATTAATTCATTGTAAATTAGATGCAACACTCATTCACTCAATCATATATTATAATTCATTGAACACTCGGAGAATATTTATCACATAAAAGTTGTACATTTTATATCGGGTAGCATATTTAGAGAATATAAGATACATTAGTTTTATTTTTAAAGTATATTATTTTTATGTGTAATGTTTACTATTTGAATGTGTACAAAATAGTATAAAATTAACTTGAGAGTTTACTATTTATATGCACGAGGTTCGTTATTTGTGTTTATAATGTTCATTATTTGAACATGTACAAACTGATATATAGAAGGTTGATTATTTAGGCATGTATATTATATTCTAGCTCATTTCTGTTATACATGAGGTTCATTATTTGTAGAATATAGCTAGACTTATTCAGCACACTCTACCCCTTTTTTTTTTTTTTTTTTTTTTTTTTTTTTGAAAATACTCCACCCCTTTACTAGGTTCATTATTTGTATGCATAAAGTACAATAGTTTTGTGAACGTATTTTGATGCATGGTTCACAGTAAAATTTGCTTGATCGGAGCAATCATTATACCATGGATTATGGTCTATCTTACAAGGTGGACCACTGACATAAAGTTCATTTTTATATACTAAAGTTTCATTTTTAATATATTGATTGCTCATTTTTTAAAGGTTCATTTTTTTGTATAGTTGTATACTAAAGGTTCATTATTTGATATATTATTAAAAAATAAACTTCTAACATACAAAAATAAACTTTTAGTATATTAAAAATGAATATTTATTCAAAAAGAAATGAACATTTATGCATAATCCGTACTACAATGCAGACGGTGGTTCTTGCCTGATTGGAGACCATCTTCTTTTGTTTTGGGAGAGAAAGAGAGCTAATTAGGAATTTACAGGGTGTTTGGTTGGAGGGAATTTAAATTTCATTCCCACTTAATTTCCAATCAATTGTAAAGGTCACTAAATTTTTTAGTTTAGTTGAAAGTTTAGTTCTGTGTAAGGCATCAATTTTTTAGGAAACGTGGCATATATAATAGTCGATTAAGGCAAAGAAGGCTGTGGAAAATTCTATAAATAAGAGTTTTATAACTTGTATCACAGTTATTTTTTATCCCCATGTGGATGACTGTAGAAAGAACAGCGGCGTCGCTGGATGTGGGGGAATTCTGAGAGATGATACAGGGAATTGGCCGGCGTGGGGGTTTTATGTGCAATATCGGACGGGGAAATGCCGAAGAGGCGGAAACTTGGGCAATTCTACAAGGCATGCATCAGGCTCGCTAACAGTCTGAGGGTTGATAAACTCATCGTTGAAGGTGATTTCATGACTGTCATGGAGAGCATGAGAACGGGTGATGTGACTCGTAACAACATTGTTGGACATTGCATGAGCGAAGCTGCGGGCTTGGCGCAGGTGGAATACAAGCACACTTACAGAGAACAAAATAAGGTGGCGGATGCCCTTGCGTCGATGTCCATCTCAAACTAGATTGGGCTACATGTTTTGAGCGAGGCACCTCTAGATTTACGGATTGCTATTCAACAGGATCGCGTCGGAGCTAAGTACCCTCGCAAGACTCACCAGAGAAGAGTTACTGTGATCGCTGCACATTAGGCTCTTTGGGTTACACCCTCATCTTGATCAAAAAAAAAAAAAAACAGTTATTTATTATCCCCAATTTTGAAACATATTATATTTCTGAGTATTCATACTTCAAAAATTTATGTTTCATTTCACACCATGTAATATTAAATTCATCATTATTAGATATGGGTCAAAGATTACACGTAAGAATTTTGTTCATATTGATTTCTAAAATGAACTTTAGAGTTTAATTATTTTAATATTATGCTAGGAACCAGGAAGGAAGGGATATTACAGAGCAGCAGCAACAGCAAACGACATATCGTGATGTTTAAGAATCATAACGACCAAAAAACATTATTAATTATCATAAACTATTACATGTGTAATTTAATCGTAACGACAAAAAAACATTATTAATTCCAGCCGCCAATCGGCCAATTAATTCGTTGAATAATTGTTATTAGTTAAGTTAAGTACCTATGCGTACATATATGTGTATATATATATAAAAATCACAATATTATATGAACCAACAAAATTTTGCTAATTTTTTTAGCACTTAATATCGTTTTGCATAACAAATTAATTAATGATAAAGTTAGTGAACAAAGTGTGGAAGTTGATGAATATAAAGTAATCGTAACACATATCATATCTCATATCATTAAATAAAATAATTGATGAAAAAAAGTAGTCTAACATTTTTTGTATATAAATAAGAGTTAATTATTTCTGATTTTAGTTTCTAATTTTTTACTTTTTACTACTTTTGGTCTTCTAAATACTAAATTTTGTACCGAATTCCGTATTCAACTAGAATTAAAAGTAATAAGTTTTCAAGATTAGATGTCGATTTTTATGATTTTTAAAGTAAAAAAAAAAATTTGAAAAAGCATAAATGCATAATCAACGAAAACTGGAGTATATTAATACATGCTAAATAAATAAAGAAGGGAAAGAAAAACTTATCACGTGTCTAATGTCTATATTTAAAAATAAAAATAAAAATATACTTAGTACCTTATCCGTATAGCATATAATAGGACGAGACGTCGTCGTCTTAGCGGTCGGCAAAATTGGGCCCACTTTTGGTTCATGAATTACAACTTGTCAAAAGTTTTTGGCAAGTAGTTTGACCTTTTCTTCTTCTCCATAATCTGACCATTGTTGACTAATTACAAAACACAACGAAGCACCTCACTTTTCTCCTTCTGTCACAACAACATTATTATTATTAAATAATGACACATACAGACGGATAAGCTTCATTTCTGAATTATTGACCACAGTGAAAATTTTATACATAATCACAAAATTTACGACGGAAAGGAATCATTTGATTATTAAGATTTGTATAACGTAAAGATAAAGTGAAATTAGACTTAGAAATAATTTAAAAGGAAGAACGAGAAGAAGAAGGTGAATTATTTACTCTCTTTATGCCCAATTAGTGTTACTATGTTGTGACCTGTACTAAAAAATAATGATTTTTGTTACCGTACCTATATTGATGGAATATAAGTTATATAAGTTATTAGTCCTTTCATTGTTTACAAAAGGCAAAATCTCTATAAAAACTCTGCATCTTGACTTGGCATGATAATGGTGGATATGTAAATTTAGTCATCTTATTGTTCATGTGTACTATTGCTACCCTATCTATTTGCTTGAGAGTTGAGACCAAGTGAGACAATCTTTCTACTGTACATAATTCTATGAGAATTGCATTCTATTATACTTTAACTATGCAGGTTTTCATGTACAATATTTGTATATAATTTTGTTTACTTCTAACATAAGAATATTATTTTAGAGCTAGGAAATATGTCATGAGTGACTCATTGTTGAGCATAAATAAGTAAAATAATTAATAAATATCAACTTTTGAATCTCATTATTTGAGAGAAAATATGTCATGAGTGACTCAATGTTGAGCATAAATATATAAAGTAATTAATAAATATCTAATTATTTGTTTTGAAAATAATAAATATCTAATTATAGACTATAAGATGTATCGTTTTTCATTAATGGTACCAATGATATAAAGTGCAAATTTAATGCCCAATTAGGGTTATTATGTTGTGATCTGTAATGGAAAGTAACAATTTTCAATACTATGCCTATATTTGGTGGAATATAGGTTATATAAGTTATTAGTCCCAGTCTTTTATTGTTACTCACAATAAACAAAATTCCTCATGCAAAGGTTCTATACTTTGCCCGGACAAGATGATGGATGTGCAAATTTAGTTATCTTATTTTTCGTTCATGTGCACTATTGCTAATTATCTATTTGCTTGAGATCAAGTGAGAGACAATTTTTTTTATTATAATTCTATGACAATTCAATATTCAACTATGGTTGGATAATGCTCGATTCTATTATGCTTCAACTATTATGTTAAATTTTGCTGTAGTTTTACATGTATAATATATTTATATAATTTTATTTATTTCTAACATAAGAATCTCGAGGTAATATGTCATAAGTGACTCATTGTTGAGCATAAATATATAAAATAATTAATAAATATGTAATTTGAGTATTAATTTAAAATTTTAATTTAGATGCATGTTTTATCATGGC